AAACATAGACATACAGAAACAAATAAGTGAAAACGAAAAGAAACTAGAATATGACAGACACACAAAGAAACTCAATGAGTTAAACGTAGAGAAAAAGAAGAAAGAAGAACAACTGAAAGAACTAAGTACAGAGGAATATGCGAAAAAAGTGTCAGAAAAAGCAGCAGAAGTAGCAAAAATGGAACAAGATGTTATAAATTTGAAAAACCATACTACTCAATATAAAGTACTGAAAGATGAAGAAATAAAACAAAAAGCCCTGAAGACATATATGGATAGCGATGAGTATAAAAAAGAAGTTGAAGCAAATGTAAAGGCAGAAAAACTTTTACAGTTGCAAAACCAAACCGTACAGTATGAAAACTTAGCACAAGAAAGTAAAAATAACGACGCAGCCATGCAAAAGGCAATGAAAAGCGCAGAATATATAAAAGCTAATAATGACTGGTTAGATGCCCAAGCCAACGCTAAAGCAGCCCAACTTATAGGGTCAATAAGGACAAAAATACAAGCGGATGAAGACAGTTCAAATGAAGCTTTAATGAATGCTGACTTTAAGAATGCCTTCGAAGCTCTTCATAGTAAGGTGAAACTAGTGAACGACTTCTCATCTGGAAAGAAACTGAAGTCTGAAGGTTTCGACAAAGAGTTAAGAGAAGTAGCACAAAATATGACGAAAATAACAGATGCAGCAACGAGACAGGCAGTTCAAAGTGCCTATGACGCCGTTAGAGCAACTGTTGTGGAAAGTCAAGAAAAAGAGTTACAACAGACCAAAACAGACCTAGTAAATGCTTTCTTAAGAACGAAAAGTCAGGTAGGACATTATGCTGCAGATGGAACATATGTGCCAGCTGGTGGAACTTATATACCAGCTGGTGGAACTTATATACTAGCTAGTGGAACTTATATACCACCAAACCCTCCAAGAGAAGCACCTGCACCAGGACTACCTAAAACATTTACATCGTCACATGGACACAGACACAGGCATGCACCAAAACCAACACAACAACCAACACAACAACCAACAGTTCAAAACACTGCACCACAACCAACAGTTCAAAATCCAGCACCACAACCAACAGTTCAAAACCCTGCACAGCAACCAACAGTTCAAAACACTGCACCACAACCAACAGTTCAAAACACTGCACAGCAACAACCACAAACAGAGCAAGGACATAAAAGAAGTAGAGAACAAGGAAACCAAGAATTCTTAAAATGCTTAAGGAAGACTATGGTTACCCAGATACTCTTGACTTTAGTGACAGATATAAAAAGCTATTAGAAAGTTCAAGGAAGGAAATACTGACCCGAACCTATTTAGCTTTATGGTCAGCACCAAATGGGATATAATTTCAAACCTGGAAAATACAAGCTCGCTAAGGGATATGATTTAATAGCATATCATCCAAATGACATGACTGAATTTACTCCGAGATATTTGGTGTCAGAGCTAAATGATAATTCAACTCTCTTCATGAAACGCGTAAAAAATAGAGACGGAACGAAAGAAGAAAGGTTATGAGTCCGGATGACTTAGATAGGGAACTTTTTAAAAACGGTCTCGGAATATATGAAATGCCAGCAGATGAGGTACAAGAAACTCCACAGGAAGAAGTTCAGATACAACCAGACATGGAAGAAATAGTTCAGCAACAACAGCTAGAAGAGCCTGAAGGAAACGAACAAGTCCCTCCTTTGGAAACTAACTTCACAGAACTAGATGAAGATTTGGAACAGCCGAAAAATCTTGACCCTCAACAAGTATGCGGAGAATATGGAATCTTTCCAAGAGTCTAAGAAAAATTCGGCTGACATAGTAGAAGAATATCGAAAAATGTTCGCCGACATACAAAAGACTCCAACATCAGATGAAAATATTCAGCATAGAATGGAAGTACTGAAAGAAAATGTACGCAAATACAACAATCCTTTTTACTTACGACATATAACGTTCAATCTTTGGCTGAACTCGGTGAAAATAAAAGGTTAAATTTCACAAAACATATAGAAATGAAACATTGTTTAAAGTTCATTCAGAACCTAACCAATATGGAAACAAACCTACTTTTGTTTCTGCAGACTATGGAACTACAATGAGATGGGGTCATAAAGCTAATCCGGATAGGTGGTTCATAAACTTACAACCACAATTCCAAGAAGTTGTAGACGCAATGGAAGTGAATGGTGAACCAGATATAGCTGGTATTTTCAGCGCGGCTTTAATGCCATTGAAAGATATGAAAGATGCAGATATTTTGGACCAGTATGAAATGAACATGGCTGATGGAAATATAACACCTGACGTTCTAAACATTTATCTCAAAGAACTACACAGAACCATAGAGATGGTATATTTGGTGAAGAGTTTAGAAAGAAAGTTAGGGAGATAGAAGGAAGAGAACCTATTGTACATGACCTTGCAAACGAAAGTTTGCAAAATGTCATAAAAACTTACTTTGCAGACAATGAACCGAGAAGGGATGAATATTTAAGAAAACTCAAATGGACAGTACCAAATGAAATGTTAGTATTGAAAAACATGTTCCTTGACAAAATAAAACCAACTACAGAAATAAATGACGCAAGACTGAAACATTGGGTAAAAGCTTTCCCATTCACAAAAGATATTGTTGGTAACATGGAAAGAAAACCAGAATGGCTACAAAAACATATATTTGGAAACGAGCATATTCCATATGGACAAGCTCTGTTTGAAGAGCTTGAACCGGAAACTCAGGAAAGAGTCATGCAAACAATACGCGAAGACTCAAATACAAACTATGACAAAATCTTTCTAGGATATAGGTTACCTGAGATGGGCGACCAGAGCCCAAAGGCAAAAAGGACATGGGAAATTTACAACATACTAGGTGAACATGAGGCAAAGATGCAACAACTTGAAGCAGAGGGCAAGTTACCAAAAGCGACACCAAAGAAGAAGAGTAGAACAAAGTAAAGCTTGGTCCGAGTGGGTTCTATTATGACATAATAAATCCAACTATTCTATATTTTTACCATATGAAATGTACGCCGCTCAGAATATAACGCCAACAGTTTTGGATGCCATGAACGGAAATGTTTCCGAATGGTATAACGAATGCGACAATGCCATTAGAAGGTCAGAAATAGTTCCTGGAACTTACGAATATACAACTGCTGTTTCTTATGGAAACGTAGGTGAGTTTGGAGAAGGTTCTTCAACAACAGTAGATATTGCTTGCGACAGGTTTCATATTATTTCTATTGACAACTCATTCTTATACGTGGAACAAGACATTGAAATAAAACCTTCTGCCAAGTTGTCTGACAAGAAAGGTTGCAATGGAATTTTCTATGTCGGATACCAATATGCTCCAGAAGTTTTCATGGGATATAAGATATATTCTAACTCTGACTTAGTTCAAACAGTAACATGGGCAAACTATGAATGGTTCGCTTTGAGAAACTCAGTACAACCACAAGCTAGAGAACAAACAGACCAGTATGCAAATATTGAGAAAATAAGAAGACTTGACCCTAACGTTCCAGGAGTTTATGTTAACCTTTCTGGACAGATGGAAATGCTGCCAAAAGTAAAACTGAAACTTAGAGTTCCTTTGTCATCTTTCCTCATCTTCAGGTTTTTAAGATACTTGCCAAACTGGGCAGGAAAAATTTCTATCGAACTTACTCCAAGCAAAAATAACTTAGTCATTGCACCAACACAAGACCCATTCACTCTTACAGAGTAACTGGGGAACAAATTCGTGACTTTTGCAAAGACAAAGTTGACTTAGACTTTGGTTTCTCAAACTCAACACTGAAGTAAACTATTATTTCAATGCTGCTGGAACTGCTTGGGACCCAGTTAAGTTCACATGCGAAAAATTTGAATGCAAGAGAATAGAAAGCAGACTTGCAGTCTATATGTTGGACCCAGATATTTCAAATGCTTTAGCTGCCAAATATATTGCAGTTCCACTTATGTTCCCTATACACCAAATATCTGTCAAAGACTTTGCAGGTGAAGTTGGAAACCAAAGTGCTGACCCAGGTGCAAGAACAGATATTGCTTTAACAACTGCAATGAAACATGCAGATACTATGTTTGTACTGTTCAGACGAACTATAAATGACTATTCTTGTTTCTACAACCCTGGTATTAAATATCATATAAACATAGATGGCAAATATTATCCAAGAGAAGAATATTCTACAGTTGAGGATATGAGGTCATACAACTTGACATTAGATGCTATGAACTTTAACAACAACTTCACAACAACCATTAACCCTGAAATGCAAAGTTCTATTATGCCATATGTGAAAGTATGGACTCATACAGGAGGTCAAAAAACTCAATATACAAATGGAGACCGTTCAAACTTTTGGCTTGGCATTCCATTTGCTGACTCAGAAGACTTTATGGGTGGTATTTCAACTGTTGGTACTGTACAAATACAATATACTGGTGACAGAGACGGTCCAGATGAATGAGAGCAAAGAAGTTTACAAAACCAATAGCACTTTTCACGGAAGATGCTCTTTTGAAGATTCGTTCGATGAAACCTGCTGGGGCTCCTCAGATTGGCATAACGACAGCTTCCATCGAGCAGATTTTGGCAGCAGGTCAGTAAGTTGTTCTTGAACTGACTTCTCTCCGTCAAATATTGACAGTACGCCAGTTTTGACATAATATTGTATTATAAACTTACCTTTAGAAATATCTGTAAGTTTTGTTGTTATATTTTTGTCTGCTTCAAGAACTTTCACCATTTCAGTTATACCAACTTTCTTTGCTTTATGAAAATATTTTGGTTCAGCAAAGACTGCTATTCTATAACATTTTCCATTGTTTGTGTAAAGAACTATTCTGTCAATGTATTTGTATTGTTTGTGTGTGTAAACTTTGTTTGCTTCAATTCGAAGAGATACTCGAATACGTCCATCTTTTTATTCTAAGTAAAATGTCATTTCCGAAAAATAGAAGCGTAAGTGTTTCAAAAGGTTTAATGGCGGTGGCAGATGTGAAGTTAAATTCACCAACTCAAACAAACAGTCAAAGTGTTGTTGTCAATGTCAAAGACAGAGATGTTGAAGTGGGGAAACCATACGAAGACGAAGATGGTATAACAATTGTTCCTGTAAAAGAACAACCAACATATCCTGAAGTTAGCAGAGACTTAAGTTCTGTTGCAGATATTCGAAACGACTACCAACAACTGAAAGACAAACTTCAAACTCAGGAGAAGATTTGTCAAGCTTTAGTATAATGTTAAACTTGGTCGAACACAACCCTGTAAAAGTGAACTCATATGTCATTGCACCTCATGAAGTTTTGAAAGAACTATTGAAACTTTTGACAGAGGCAGACGATATAAACATCAAAGAAATAGAACCCGACATTAGTTGCTGTGGTGTTTCATATAATGTCATTGACAAGATATACGTTATGAAAGGAGGTGAAACGTTGAACTTAAAATATAGTTTCCCAGACGTCATAAAAAATATTTGACGACAACATTTCATTAAAATTTATTTGCTAAGTAAAAATGTCAAAACTTCTTGAAAGATGTTTGAAGAAAAATAATATAGACTTTATTTCATGTAAAGGACTTTACACACTTTTGAACGATATGAAAGACCCTGTTTTGTTTGTTCGTGTAGACAAAGGAAAGTTCTATGTCTTTACAAAATATTTGAACTTCTTAGACAGAGAACTTCAAGAAACGCCATGTGAAAGTTTAGATGAAGTTCTTCTCCACTTTCAGAAAAACTTTTAAATATATATAAATGGCAGAAGATATAATGGTTTATACTATTACGACTAAAAACCCTGAGTCATATAATTCTATAACAACAAACTTACAAAGTCCTCAAGGACGATATTGTAAACTAACTTAAACACAATGACGACTAAAGCCTGTTTTGCTCTTTTGACACCAGAAGACTTTATTGTTGTGAATGGTAAAAAATACTCCTTTGAAGATACTTACTCAGATATACCACCAACAGGTTTTGTTGACTTATTTAATACTTTAAGTACGGGTGTAACATGTGCTGCAACTAGAGCAGGTTTCATTATGTTTGGATGTCCGACTGAGTTTACTATAAACGATATGAGCTATAATACAAAACTTATTTCTGGTTTTTACTACCAACAGTTTCCTATAACAGGAAAAGGTGTCATACAAGGAATGTCTATTCCATTGACATTAAGCACACCAATCTTATATATTGTTTCAAACTTAGGTTCAAAGTGTTATTCGAATGTCGACAGAAACTATTATGACCAAAAGATACTTATGCGTATAAACAATACTTTCTCTGCTGGTTTGCCTATTGTTCATTCGAATGCAGAATTTTCAACCTTAGTGAACTCAAACACTTTGGCAAGTATAACGTTGACATTAGTTGACGCAAACTTTGTTCCTGTAAAACTTTTATGTCCTATGTATTTGTCAATGACGGCAGAAAGTTTCGAATTGGAAGATGCAACTGGTGAAAGTATTGTATTACAAGAACAACTTCAACAACAAATAGCTCAAGAACAACAAATGCAACAAATGCAACAACAAAGTCAAGAATAAAAAAAATATTTTTTTTATTTTTATAAAAATGTACAGAATAGATGTTTCAGATTTTTATGACTTCCAAGCATTCAGAAATATGTGTCCATTTCGAGACTATAACAAAGCAGTCGAGAATTTGAAACGTTTAGTCATTTATGTTGACTCTGCCCCAGAATGTTATGTTATGAAAGAATGGGATGTAGTCTTTAACAAACCTAAAGCGACAATAGTTTCAGAACAAGAATGTAGACAGAAACTTAAGAAAATAAAAGTTGTACAAGTTGGCATGAAGATGTTAGATGCTTGGGATATCTTATTGTCAAAGTTAGAAGATTTTTCAGTTCGAGGTATAAAGTTCTATACACCTTCTCCAAACTTCTATTCTATCTTCACTGGATATAAATATGAACAAGTAGAATGGAAAGAAAATATTATAGAAGCTTGGTTAGACCATGTCAAAGAAATTATATGCAATGGAAACGAAAGAGTCTATGAGTATATCTTATGTTGGTTTGCAAATATCTTACAACATCCAAGTGCTAAAAATGAAACTGCTCTCATTATAATTGGAAAACAAGGAACTGGTAAGAACACATTCTTTACAGATATTTGTGCAAACTGTTAGAAGGTATTCGAACCGAATATGACAAACTTAGAAAACATCTGTGGCAAGTTTAACTCCTCAATAGAGAATATGAAACTTATAGTTTGCAATGAACTTCAAAGTATAGATACAACAAAAGTTTTGAACTCAGATGCTTTGAAGAGTCTTATAACAGACAAAGTTGGAGTTGTTGAAAGAAAATAAAGACCAAAGAGTTTGTGAAAATGTTGCAAACTTCATTATGGTTTCAAACAATGCTGTTCCGATGAAGTTAGAAAGTTCTGACAGAAGATATGTAGTTGTCAGAACGTCAGATTCTCATATGCAAGATACAGAATATTTTGACGACTTAGCAGAAACTTTGACATCTGACTTTTACAACCACTTGTTCTCATATTTTATGACATTAGATATTTCAAAGTTCAATCCAAGACAAATTCCACATACCGAAGAGAGACAAACATTGTTAGAAGCAAACAAGAGTGTATATGAACTGTTCATAGATGAAACTGACTTTGAGTGTTTAGATGAAAGGTCATTGTACGATTCGTATAAACAATATTGTCAAGAATATGGTTATATGACAGCGTCTAAACGAACATTCTTGGCAAATGTCAAAAGTCTTTTAGACGTACAGAATGGTGTATATACAAAGAAAAATTTTTATGAGTAAATTTTAAAAAAAATATTTTTTTATCCGATAGAAAAGATGGCAAAATTCATCTCAGTAAACAAGTACATGTCAGGACTTAAAGAAGAACTAGACCCATTCACATATTTGAATGTTTACTTCTACCATTTTGAAAAGTCTTCATTCAGCAAAGTTTGGAACATCGAACCAGTTAAGTTTGCTATTGTGACTAAAAATGGTGCGAAATTTGAAGACTTAGACATAGAAGGTTTGTTAGCAGTCAAAGAAAGTTTTGACAGAAGGTTTCAAACCTTAAAGAAGGCAAAGCATACAAACTTGTTATACCTTATGAACCAAAGAAAGCAGACGACTATGAATATTATGAGTCTAAGATAGTTGAAGTTCAAGGTAAATTGGGTAAAAAGATTTTAGAGTCTAAGCCAGTGTTTGCTCCTAAAGAGGAAGAGAACATTGACATTGACCCAGAAATGTTCTAAAAATAAAATTTTATTTTTACATGTCAAATTTCTTTTTCTCTGGAACTGGTTCAGGTTCTTTCTTCTCTTCTTCTACTTTCTTTTCTTTCTTTTCTTTCTTCTTCTTTTCTGGTGGAGTTATGTCAAATTTGGCGCAACCATATTTATGTAAAAGTTCTTTGTCCTTTAATAGCTCTTCTATTCTGTTTTCTATTTCATCTTCAAGAACAGCGCATGTGTCTTCTTTGCATTCTAAGAACTTTTGTTGGACTTCATCTTCCAAGAGGCGTCATCTCTGTCAACAAGTCTGTCATTGACAAATTTTAAGACTGCTCTGCTTAATGTTTTATGGTTCTTGTCATATTCCCAGAAACAGAACTTTAGAACAAATTCACCTTTCTTGTTTACACTATGTAAGATTTTATGGTCGACAGATGTTTTGCTGTCAAAACTTGTCTCGAATATAGATAGCGAAATCGCTAGACATTTTCTAAAAGATAAAAATTTTAATTTTTCTAAAAATATGTTAGAAAAAAAGTTTGCTGACATTGACAAAAATTTGAGAATGTTTTAAACAAGAACAAGAGGAAGTTAGAAAATGCTCAGATAAAGCCTATACATGACAAGTTCTTATTTGCTCAGAATGGTATAACAGGTCTAATTGCACCACCTGGGTCGGGTAAGACTTTCACTTATCTTAAAATGGCTGCACAACAACAAGAACTAGATGAGAAGAACCCATTCTATGAGTTAGTTGTCATTTGTAGTACTTCTGGTCAATTTGACCAAACCGTCAATTCGTTCAAAGATATTATAAAGAAGTCTAAGTTAGTATGTATAAAATACTGAGTTGTTAGATTGGATAAAGAAGTACCAAAGAAGAGTTTTGAAGTATAATGCTATAAATGAGTATATAAATTCTAAGTTTAAAGACCCAAATGAGGAAATGCAGAGAATATTAGAGAAGAAACACTTCAGAAACAAACAGAAAGAGATAGAATACATTTCGAAGAAATTGCAATCTTACGATTGGAAGACTTACCCTCATAGATGTCTTCTTATCTTAGATGATTTCGCTCTCATCCTTTGTTAAAGAATAGAGAACAAGATATGTGTCGAATTCTTAAGAAGCTCAGACACTTTAACATCTCAGTTGTCATTTGTGTACAGACAGCAAAGAGTTTAAGTAAGGATGTTAAAAGAATACTTACTGACATTATACTTTTCCCCGGATTGTCCGAAGACGATTTCATGGAACTTATGAAAGAGTCCATGGCAGGTAAGTTTGACAGACATGAACTATGGGAGAAGTACAAAGTCATACAAGACCCTCATACTTCTTTCAGAATTCATATCTACGCAAACAAAGTTCAAATTGTAAAAAGTCAAGCTTGAAAAATAAAGAGTTCATTTACTCTGCTTGTTTGAAGTTGTCAAAATACTCTGTTATTTTTTCCTTTCAATGGCAAATCTTCTTTGAAGGTAAGTATTGTACAACCTTTCATATCATAGTGTGTTTGAGGTAACGTATCTTGAACTATTTGTTTCACATCTTCATTTGGGGTCATTGAAATCGGTAAGTTTTCGCGATAGAACCAATTTCTGTCAGATTTGTAAATCTTAGCAAGGTCGTAAAAGCTTTTGTTGTTTCTTCTGACTAAATGCAACATAACCATATCTCTGTCTTCTTCATTTTCCATCTCTTCAGTATAAATCATATACTTATAGTTCTTTTCCTTTCCTTTTGGTACGAACGTGGTATTCTTTTCTGAATGCTTTTGTCTTTTGCTTCAAGCTTGTTCTTTATCTCTTCACGTTCTTGTCTATGAATTTCGTCAAGAAGTCTGTAAATATACCAAGCATAACGAGGCGAAGCCCACATTGCAACAGCATTTACAAGAAGTCTATGTACATAATATCCTCTCAAACCGTTTGGCAATTTTTCACGATTTTCATAGAGTTTTGGCGACTGGGGTTTTTTACTTACTCG